GCAGGGGGTTGGACTAGATGGTCTTTAAGGTCCCTTCCAACCCAAACCATTCTATGGTTCTATGAGTCCACTACGACTCATCTTCAAGACTTCAAGTAAGGTAATTCACCTAAGCAGACAAGATACTCCAAAAGCCTCAAAAAGCCAGAGGTCCCATACGAAGAACCTGAGGGTGCCTTATTACTCCAGAAATACCACACAAAATCACTATGGAACAAGGAAGCCCTGGCAATCCTTCAAACCACAGAGCTCCATGCTTCATGGTGTTTATGTACAGATTTCCCTCCTCTGACAACTGTAATTCTCCTAAGCTGCCTGAGTAGATACTGCACTATGGCAAGGAACTTCTAGCACTTTTGCTAGGACCAGTCCAGGTCAGAAAAGCCATGCTACAAGTAATCAGAGGGTCTCTCTAGCACACCAATACAATAAGTAAAGTACACTTTGAGATGGTCAGTTCCACAGCTGAAGGGCCTGAAAATGAATAGAAGCAAGAAGAATTATGAAAGTACAACTATTATCTGAACAGTGAGGGCAGTCAGATACACTAACAGTGAAGCTGTAGGACAAGTCTCCTGTCAGGCAAGGAGATCATTTAACAGCAAAACAGATTGGCCATTGCCTTCTCCACAGTCGAATTCACTTAATTTCAGGCCAATCTCTAGTTGGAACTGTTCATTGTTGTCAGCAGATTAAACCAAATCTTCTCCTTTGATCTTAAAATAGATGTGACAACTTAAAATGCTGAGAAACACAGAAGTAAAATAGATGTAAAGTGCTTTTGGTAACCAAGGAAGGATGCACAACATCATTATCTTATTTCTTACGCTGTGGGATTCACCTTCTTGAAAATTAATTACCAAGTCGTAGGTGAAGCATCTAGTCATACAAAAGTAATCAGAGCACACAGAAAGAGCTGCAACACCTGCCTGTCAAAAGCTCCAGACAGCCCTAGAAACTTGAGAGACTTCTGACAACAGAACAAAGGCTTCCCTCTCTGCCTGCAGATCTGCAACTACAGCAACAGGAATGGTGCCTGGGGAGTAAGATATGAGGAGCAAGACATTTAGGGTAAAAAGGCTGAGCTAGGGAGTATTTAAGTCAGCTGGGAATACACAAGTCCATGGGATACATCTGAGAGTGTCAAAGGAGCAGTTCAGTGTCACTGTAATTCTGCTATCATGTCTGAAAGATTGTGACAATTGGGGCAGATTTCCAATGCTAGAAAGGCAACTGTCAAACCCATCTTCAAGAAAAATCCCAGCAATTATGGACTAGTCAGCTTAACCTCAGTCTCCAGGAATATTATTAAAACCATCTCAGAAGCTATTAACACGTGAAGCAGAAAAAGGCAATCAGGAAGAGCCAGCCCAGACCTGCAAGGGTGAACGGTCCCTTACCAATCTGAATACTTTCTGTGATGAGATGACACCGTCTCCAGAAGAGGAAGTAATGGATGCTGTGTATCTCAACTCTAGTAAGGCCTCCGACATGTTCTCTCACAGTGTTCTTACAACTAAATCATGATACTGGGACCAGATAAGTGAACAATAAGGTGAGCAGAAAGTGACCTCACTGTTGGGCTTGGGTATGGTGATAAGTTGTACAATGACTGCCAGTGGGCAGTCAGTTACCAGTGGTGTCCCTCAGGGACTGATACAAGGCATCAAAACTGTTCCCTGGATGATGGGCCAGCACATTCAGGAAGTATGTGAACAATGCCAAACTGGGGGCGTCTGATACGCTGGAGGACAGGGCTGCTAGACAGAGGGACAGGCCGGAAAGATGATCCGACAGGAAGTTTGTGAAGTCCAACAAAGGCAAAAATACCAAGCCCTGCATCTGGGCCAGGATCACCCTACACAACAGTACAGGCTGCGATCAGCAGTCTGCAGAGAACCTTTGAGGGGAAAGACATGGGGGGCCCGGTGGACAAAGAGCTGAACAGGAGTCAGCAGTGATGGGCAGCTGCACGCCGGGCTGTTAGCAGGAACGTAGCCAGCAGGCTGCAGAAATGATTCTTCCCTTCTGGTTGGCATTTGTGAGGCAGCACGTGGAGCACCATGTCCAGTTCTGGGCTCCCCAGTACAAGGGGAAAGATTGACACAGTGGAGCATGGGGAGAGGTTGAAGGAAGCAGGTTCTCAAGAAGAGAAGGCCCATGGCAGAGTTTACTGCAGCCTACAACTACCTACCTAATGGGCAGGTATGGAGAGGACAGACTGCTCCCAGAGGTGCATGGTGACAGGACAAAAAGCAATGGACAAGATGTAAGAAAATACTTTTTCCACTGTAAGGGTGGTCAAACACTAAGAGGCGTACAAGAAATTGCAGTCTCCATTCTTGGAATTAAATGCCCCTTCCAACCTAAGTCATTCTGTGATTCTATTTATCCATTATAAATTGTTGGTTTTCAACCCTCTTAATTTAGTCCTTCTCTGTACTAAAAGACAAGGCAAAAACAGGAAAGAGCTATTTATTGCTTCCATTTTACTCCATGTTGTCCATTAGGGCTATGTCATCAACTGGTACAGATTACCGAAAATGTTATGACTAACTCACTCCTGATGTGTGTTTTCTCTTTTAAATTAACCAGTCTTTCCTGGTTTTGGAGGGAAAAAAAAGAAAAAATATCACAGATGGGCATCTAAAAATGTGCTTCTTTGAGCTACATTCCACTACTACACTGTCACTGTAAACACTGACACAGTGCAAGACTAATGTTAGGCAAGATCTGCTACATGACCCTCTGCAGTGTTTTATGATTCTATTTTGAGTCAAACAAATTACAAGGTTTATTACAAGGAAACAGTCATAACAAGTCTGAAACACTTCAGATCACTGATTATACCCTTCACAAGAGACTGATACAACATCTGTCATCCTTCAAAGCCTCTGCAGGGTATGCAATTGATTTAAAAACTCCCTACTTTCCTTAGCAACTGAGACACTTAATGTTCTAAATCTTTCAGTGTTGAAATCTATCTTCTACACCTAACAAAATGCCCCTTTAATTTTTGAGGCACAATCCACTTTATCAGCTACAAAGTAGTATAATCAGCTCTACAACATCCTCTGTCCTAAACAGCAAGGGCTTTCTGCTGCTCATGCCATCAGAACAGGGGATTCCTTTGTACAAGTCAATATGCTTGGCTATAATTGGCCAGATTTTATTGGCCTGCTTGGGAACACCAAAGTCATTCCAAATGGCACTTGAGCAACTGCGTTCAGAGACTGAATTCAGAGGACAGTTATCCATAAGAATTTACCTGCACAAAGGACTGTCTTACTGTGTCCAACACTTAACAGTCCAGAGGATACCGGCACAAAAAACACCTCCAAACAAAAAAAGAGCAGCAAACATGTTTGATACACTGCATTTCCCATGTAAGTCTTCCGTTGGATCTCAAATGGATAGTTCAGAGAAAGTAACTGACCCATGCCAAGGTAAATGTGAGGCTTGACAGAAAAGTGAACAGACTGTATTTTTGCTCCTCTAATCTGAGGCACATTACGCCGTAACAGGAAATAAAACTTACAGTGTAAAAAAGTATAACCATTTGGTGAGAGAAAATACTGCTGATTATTTTTAGATTCTGAGCTCCTCCTGGATACACTAATAAGGAGAAAAAGCACTTGGCCACAGCATAACTGGCAAGTTAAGAAATAGAGATCCAGACTGCACTGCTCTTCTAGCAGCTGAGATTATCGATGTAAACTTTGGTTATTTTGGCTTGTCAGCATTTTACTTGGATCTCTGAAGAGAAAACACATGCTTCACATAACAAATGGAATGTTTTCAAATTAGGACACTTCTGTTTGCAGCCAAGTTTACTGGAGCGACTATGAATTTTCAGTCTGAAGTTTATCTAGAGCAGTCCTTCAAATGACAGAAACAATCATTCATCACCAGCTTGTTTCTAGACATTGCAACTCATTGTTGAGGGATTTTCAGAGGATTTCGTACAGTACTGTGCCCAATTCCTAAGTTTTTTTTTTTTTAAAATCACAAAAATAGTATGAACAGGATCCCCAAGTTTGACAGCAGCGCAGTGATTCAGCAAGAAGTACCAGCTAGGACAGCAAAATGCAAGTTCCTCCGGCTTCCGAGGTTATTTAAAAGATAAAAAACAAACACCCACCCACAAGTCCACTGTTTAACTTAACAGATCAATTTTAAGCACAGTAACCCATGTCTTTGAGTAGACTACTGCTGCTTTCTGCAGTCATCAAGGTATTAGTGCTGAAGGATCATTTATTTGCCTCCACATCTAGAAGCTCAAGATAGTCTCCCTGTAGCCACAGCAAACAGTCTGTCACACCTGTAGGCACTTCCACCTGCTTAAACAGGAAAAGCTTCAAGTAGGATTGCCCATGATTTGAAGGTATTTGAAAGAAAAATCAAAACCCCACCACCACTATCAAGAACATTCTTCTAGATGTCATCTTCTTGGAAGGCTGCACTGCAGATGAAAGAATAGGCAAATACCAGGAGCCACTGAAACATCATGCAAGGAATAGTACTTTGTCTAGGCAAATAGTGGGTCACATTCTCTGTAAGAGAATGTCAGTGTCATGCTAGAAACTACTCTTCTAGATACCGAGGCTTCTGAGGGGAGGAGGGTGACAGCAGGCAACTCAGTTATCCATGCTTCATGTTCAACCCCCACACAGAGCAAGTTTGCAACCAAAGTTGAATCCGGCAGAAAGGCCAGTACGATATGATTCTCATTCTACTGAGGGGAGTCATCAGATGACTAATGTGGATCATCTCACAGAGTCCTGATGAAATATGGGTTGACACTGACCTTCATTCAGACATTCAGACTTAGAACACATTCAGATTTAGCACAACACTCAAAGTACTTTAAATACTCCACTGTTCTAGCTTGAGAGCAATAAACTCAAAGTTGTATTCTCAACACTCTGCTCTTTGTCTGCAGTAACATCATAAAACAAAAGAGCAGTCAGGTAATTCCTTGTGGCAAAAGATCCTATCAAAATCAAAGCCAACATACAACTCCATTCCCTGTTCATAAGGAGACAGCAGTTTAAGAAAGTGACAAGATAGGGTAACAGATCAGATCTTGAATGAACCAGAAGAGGGTTAACCAATTAAATAAAGTTCTTACATTACTCCTGACACAGAGCAGCGTGCCAAAAACGGCACAAGCACAACTGAATAACTACATACCTGCTCTCCTTGCCTCGATGCAAGCAACACTCATTTCCTCTTTCAGTTCATGATTTTCATTGGCTATAGCTTCACCTACTGTAACAAACCTCCCAACTGCCAGGTTAACCGCTTGGCCCACTCGCTGAATTGCTTGCAGAGTCTTGTCTGAACGCTTTGGTTTATCCTTGTGATTAATAAGAGTAGTTATCTGTGAACAAGAAGAGTTAATTATTAGAACTGTGTGCAAGATGACATTTTAACTTTAGTATTAAAGGCAAGTTTTGAACTGAACTCCGTAACAGATTTTTACCATCACTAATAAAATTTACTGTTGAGTCATGAGGTATCATTTAACTTCTCAGAATTAAAAAAGTTTGGAGCATAATTAAGTTTGCTCATCTGCTGTGATCTGTTTATCTCGCATCTCAAATGAATTGATTTATTGTTTTCCTCTCTCACTTGCAGTATTAAAGCAAGCTGCCCTAGCTCGGTCTCTCAACAGGCTTTCACACTGCAGACACAGCAGAAGTTGAGAAGTCCAACATCATTTTGGGTTTGCTGCAGTTTTTGTACTGCCAGGTAACTAAACACACTCAACTAGGATTTGGGAGCTGTGGCTCTTTTTACTGAAATAAGCTTTTGTAGATGATGTTTTATACAACTCATTAAGACAGACTTTAAGAAAGAATGAGCAGTAGCGCAGTCTTTACACAAAAATAAGAACCATTCAACTTTTAGACATGACCTGAAGTATTTGAGGCCTCCCTCCATTAAAATATCCACTGTACTCAAAAATTCAACACCCTCAGTTACACACGTTTTCTAGAATTTAGCAAAAGGTTGCCATTTAGATGCAAGTTACCAGTAAAACAATTTGTGAGGGCATTCTTATTCTGAACTCCACATCCTGTATTGGCTTTTCTGCCCGGTACTACACCACACTATACAATCCTTCTTGTATCACCCTGACCAGAGATCAGCTGCAGGAGACTGGAGATTTGCCCCAAACACCAAAAACGAGGACACAAAGAGATCCCTCTCCCACCCAAAGAGAAAGGCAGGACTGCAGATGTAGCTCCTCAGCCAAGGCATTAAACAAACACAAGAACAGCATGCAGTCCTGCCACTCAGAATTAACTAATTACAAACTGCATTACAAACAGCGTAGGAGCTTTACGTTTTTTAGGAAGATGCGAAACAGAAGCTGAACTCTGTATTTTCAAACATCCTAAACCACCATAAAGCCATCGTTGCTGCTAACAAAGATCGTCCTGCCTCTCCTTGCCTCCCTCTCCCATTTTTGCGATTAATTTCTCTGATGTGGGTTAAACCTGTGTTGCAGAGAAGGTGGTTTGTTATTTTCATTTTCTTTGTAACCAGTTGCCCAGTCCAGTTCACCGCCTAGCTGTATGACTACTTTTGGTGGCAAAGGGAAGAGGTACAGACCGGAGAGAGAAAGATGGGCAGAAGTGCTCCTTTCAGCAGCAGCATAGTTTAAAATGCCCACACAACTGTGCTGTAAGCCACATCAGCCACATCCCCAAGAACTCAAAGATGTCTGCTGAGGGAACCTCAGAATTACGTTAATTACTTAAGTGTCTGAACACATCAGCTCTATCAGCTTAATCACAGATGTCTTTGCTCATCCCTCAAAAAACCGTCAATCATCATTCACTTGTACATTCTCCTACCAGTCAAGCCTATGGTAGGAGGGCAGTACAGAAGCTGTACCTGTAACGCTCACACAGGATCCAAGGACAGAGCCAGAACTGTTCTGCTTCATAATTTGACCAATGCCCAAGGCTTACCCCTTCAGATATCACCAAGTCCCATTTCTGGGGAGAAAAAAAAACCCAAACATAGTGGTGTTTTTTAACACCTTATTGGGGCTGGTTTTGAATGCCAGGAGCTGGTCTAGTCAAGTTTGCATTATTAAACTCTTTCCAATAGAAATTGTCAATAATTCATAGAGCACATTGCACCAAGAAAGAGACACCCAGAAAAAGCTAAGAACTGTCCCAATAAACAGCACTGCCCTATGGAAGAACTGCCATGGGAAAGGACAAATGTTTTGTCCTGGTACAAAACACCACCGCAGAAATGCATTGTCTGCCCACTGCCTTCTTGTATATGTTCTACTTCTCCAACTCGTACCTAAGCCACAAGCTCTAAAAGAAGGCCACTTTCTATAATTCATACAACAAATCTGTCCCTGCAAGAGCCTCCTGGTTCACCAAACTTCAGCCCTAAAGCCTATGAACCACTGACGCCTGTCTGGTGAAAATACCAGCTTACGATGAAAACAGAGTCTTATTAAAGAGTAAACTTCAGGTTCATTCCAGAGGAACAACATTCCCCAAAACACACAATTATCATCACTTCAGTGGAAATTCAGATTAACACCAAATGGATATTAAAAACAGCTGCACTATTCAGCTCTCCTGAATTCTTGCATTGTAGATGCTTCAGGTATACCAAACCATCAATTACCTGACAGCAATTAATCTAACAATCCCGGCTGGCAAATTCCTGACTAGTCAGAGGCAGCAAGCCTACAGACCAAATGCTGAAGAAAACCAATTTGATAGAGGGTCACAGCTTTGTTTCCTCAACTGACTTTTAAGCAAACAGCAACCCAATGCTATGCAAACAGTGGGCTAATATTACACTCATACAGTTACTGACTTCTCAGAAGTATATATAAAAAACCTAAGACAATAGAATACTAGTTGGATGCATGTCCTGGCTGCAAGTTTACCTCCCACAGCATTTTATACCAGTAGAAGTTTAAACATGTTCTGCATAACCCTGAAAAAAATGCACAGGCAACTACCACTGCAGAGTGAAAGGAATGCCACTGCCTCTTACAAATCATCAAGGGCATTTTAATGTTACTGTAGAGGTATAGGAATGATAAAAATCATGAAGATGTCACAGTTTAAGGTGCTTTTCTGAAAATGTTTTGTAAGAATTAACACTTTCATTTGAGACATGGGTGAAATGTACAATTCTATCACTTCTTTAGCACTCTCTTCTGAGGGGATCATCAGTTTTGCAGAAAAAGACATCCCCTATATCCCCCCACATAAGGTGAAGTAAGAATCAGCAGCTCTTACTGGCAGGTCCATCACCAGTGTCATCTTAACCTCATGAAGCTCAGCAAGGCCAGACACAAGGTCTTGCACCTGGGCTGGCACAACCCCCAGCATTAATGCTGACTGAGGGATGACTGGATTGAGAACAGCCTACAGAAAAGCACTTGGGGTACTGGTGCATGAAAAATTGGATGTGAGCCGGCAACACGTGCTTGCAGCCCAGAAAGCCAACCGTATCCTGGGCTGCACAGAAAGAGTTGTCGCCAGCAGGTCACAGGAGGGGATTCTGCCCCTCTGCTCTGCCCTGGTTAGACCCCCCCTGCAGGGCTGTGTCCAGCTCTGGGGCCCCCAGCACAAGACACACATGGACCTGCTCGAGTGGGTCCAGAGGAGGGTCATAAAGTTGCTCAGGGGCTGGAGCAGCTCCCCTGTGAGGACAGGCTGGGAGAGTTGGGGGTGTTCAGCCTGGAGAAGAGAAGGCAGACCTTACAGCAGCTTCCAGTGCTGAAAGGGGGGGTTATAAAGACGACAAACTTTTTACCAAGGCCTGCAGTGACAGCACAGGGGACAATGGTTTCATACTGAAAGAAGGGAGATTTAGATGAGATATTAGGAAGAAATTCTTCCCTGTGAGGGTGGTGAGGCCCTTGCACAGGCTGCCCAGAGAAGCTGTGGCTGCCCCCTCCCTGGCAGGGCTCAAGGCCAGGCTGGATGGGGCTGGGAGCAACCTGGTCTGGTGGGAGGTGTCCCTGCCCAGGGCAGGGGGGTTTGACTAGATGGTCTTTAAAGGTCCCTTCTGACCCAAACCAGTCTGTGATTCTATGATCTACTGTAGACATCCAGTGGAGCAGCTTGTATATGCAATTAAAGTATGCAAGTATTAAAGTGTATATGCAGATTTGGTTTGGAAGCCTATGGTTATACACAGTAGCTGAGGCTTTGCAAGTACCTCCTGGAATAACAAACTCTCAGCTGGGTAATACAATTTCTTCTCAGACTGGCTAACTTAGGGCCACTACAGCAACTATCTTAACACTAGAATGGAGGGAAGTTTGTTGAGCCTCACCATTTTTCTTCCTAGAGAAGTCAAAAACTATATTGGATTGCCAGTCAAAAACAAACATTGTGAAAGATCCAATAAAGAAGATGGTCAAGACAAACAGCTTCATATAACACCTATTTCAAGTGTGAACAACATTGCATAGCAAACACAGCCTGCACTAATACAGTAAAATTTGCATAGAATGTTTGTTATAAAAAAAGTAACAAGCAGCCCTGAAATAGGAGTAGGTAAGTCACAATAGAATGATAAAATAGAGAAAAATGTGAAATATGTATCAGCTAAAGGAAAAAGGGATATATTTGGTTTTAGAAACATGAGTTAGACATATACCAAGTGTGAAATGCTTAAAGTCAAATGCATAAGGAAAGTTTGAGATACAGATGTGCTTCTCATAACCCGACACCTGCAGAAAACACTGCTGTGCAAATAAGGAGAATGTATAATTCTAATAAATATCTTTCCTTCATGAAGTCCTAAAAATGACAAGTACACACTCAGGTATATCCTCCATTTAAAACAAAGTTACAAAAAAGCAGAGGTAATAGCAACTGCAGTTTCATATTCTTATCAAGACTTAAATGTAATTAACAATCAGGGTTAAAAACCTAACAAGATCTTAACTGAACAAGGAGAGGAACTTCACTAGTATCTTAGGTGACAAACTGAAGGAAACCGTGATGCTAATAAGCAGCACAAAGATTATTTAACCATTTCAGACCATAGTAAATAAAAAAATAAAATCCCTAAGCAATACAGTTGGAGGGGTGTTGGGGAGAGACATACAACACCATTTGCTTCAGGATACAAATATAGCAATTATAGAATCACAGAATGTATTGGGTTGGAAGGGACCTCTAAAGGCCACCTAGTCCAAGCCCCCTACAATGAGCAGGGACATCTCTAACCAAGTCAGGGTGCTCAGAGCCCCATCAAGCCTGACTTCGAATGTCTCCAGGGATGGGGCTTCTACCACCTCTCTGGGCAACCTGTTCCAGTGATGCGCCACCCTCATAGTAAAGAGCTTTCTCCTAACGCCCAACCTAAATGTAC